GCTGTTTCCATAGCAATGGTGACTCAGTTGCATTGCCTGTTAGCACCCAGATTTATATAGGAATATAGAATGCAATCCCAGATGTGTGGTAGGAGATGGCTGCTTTCACAATAAATCATTTGTAATTCCATGCCTGTGGGTTATTAACATTGATGTGTTTGATTTTAGAACCCACTGGTACTTGTGGAATCCTGTCTTGGCCCTTCAGTTCTGTAGACAGGGAAACCGAGGTCTAAAGAGGTCAATAGTGTGCCCAATCGGTGCAACAGTTGGTTTAGAAGTGGGAGGAGGGGCACTCCAAAAACAGCGCATGTGTGGATTTAGTGCAGGTGTTAGTTCAGTGTGTCCTGTCCGGCGCATTGAGGCTCTGTCGCGGGCTGCGGGAAGCATGTCACCCGGAACATGGTCACTGCTCAGTCAGTACCTGTGGAGTGGTTGGATTTACTGGGAGGACACAGCTCAAGCGACGGTTGTGGACTGGCTGACATCTCTTAGGCACAGTTGTAAATTCCCAGGAGAATGGCTCCAGTTCCCCAGAGTTTCTCTTTATTTTTTGGGGGGGTGCCAGGAGTCGGGGTGTGGAGAGGCTTCTGGTGTCCTAGTGCTTCTTGAGGGTGGGGGTGGGGACTGGTTAGTTCTCAGAGAAGCGTGGTGTCACCAGGAAGACCCACTGGGAGCTGTCTCTGTCCATGCTGACTTTTGCCCACAGGCCCAGGCAGTGCAGAATCAAAGAAAGATCTGTTTGTATCAGTGAACTGGCGGAAGTTTGGACTCACAGATTTTGAGAGGACTTTTTAGCAGTATCTATAGAAACAAGTATTTTCTGGTCAAGTTTCAGACTTAAAAGACATTTGATCTTAAAAAGTCAAGCATGTTCAGATTGAATGTGGAAATTTGATGGCCCAGAGGGGCTGGTAAATAATTTTTCCTTATCTTGCCTTTGTTGATTTGGTTTTTAATTTAGTAAGCACTGGTTATCTAAATTTAGATTAGCGATGCCAAATCTGCAGTCCTGCAGGGTGTGTGGCTGGGAGGGAGGCCCGCTGGTTTTGTTGAGGAATGTGTGTGGCCTCGCGCTGGGGTACAAGCTGTGGTCAGGGCCACAGAGCTGTAGCTGCCGTGTAGCGATCTTCATCACTGTTCCGAAGTGAAAGATTTCGGAACGTGCTACTGATAATTAGCTGTGTGACCATTGGTGGGTCCTGTCATGTCTGCAGGCTGTAGGCCTAGGGCTGTAGGGTGGGGGTTGTGTCCAGCCTATCCTCTGCTGTATCCCAGGCCCACCTCAGTGCTGGACACATGGTGGTGCTTGGTAAAGTTTGTTGAATAGGTGAGTGTGTTAGTTTTATATTTTCTTGTTACAAATTACCACATATTTAGTGGCTTAACACAAGCAAATTTATTCTCTTACAGTTCTGGAGGTCAGAAGTCAGCAGTGAGTCTTACTGGGCTAAAATCCTGGTGTTGGCAGGGCTGCGTTCCTCCTGGAGGCTCTAGGGGAGAAGCTGGTTCTTGCCTTTTCCAACTTGTAGAGGTGGTTTCTTTCCTCTGCTCGTGGCCGCCTTCCATCTTCACAGAGCATCACTCCAACCTTTGCTGCTGTTGTCACACCTCTCTGACTCGCACCCTCCTGCCTCCCTCTTCTAAGGACTGTTATGATGACATTAGGCCCACCCAGATAATCGCCTCATCTCAAGATCCTTAATTTAGTCTCATCTGCAGTATCCCTTTTGCCTGTAAGGTAACATAATCACAGGTTCTGGGAATTAGGACTTCAGTGTCTTGGTTATTCAACATGCCACACAGAGTTTGTAAAAAGAGTGCTAAATAGTCCCTAAGTATCCCATCATAGTCCATGGAATAGTCTTGTTGGGGCCCAGGGCAGGCCACCCCAAAATATCCCACAATGGCATATGGGTTATTTTGAATTAAAGTTACTTGAGAGGTGAAAAGGGCATTCTGACCCTCCTTTCTCTGTTCCCCGTGAAAGCAGGAAATAAATCGCTCATGTGAAACGTGCTCTCCCTGCATCCTTATCGCCAGAGCTAGGAATTCAGGGCTTGAGAAGCCTGTGTAAACAAACCTTGTTAATTTACTACCTCAAGCCTAAACTCTGTTCAAATTCCTCGCTAATTACATACCTCAAACCTAAATTTCTTTGTCCTGTCATTTCCTCACAAACTTATTGTTTCTTTCCGTAAAAAGATGTATATACTGCCTGCTTTGTTCACTCTTGGAGCATCAATTCTCTGTGATCTTCAATACATACATATTAAGTCGGGTTTTCTCCTGTTAATCTGGTCCTGTGTCAATTTTATTATTAATCCAGCCATAAGAACACAAGGTTAGAGGGAGAGATTTCCCCCTCCCCGACTGTCTCCTGCTGGTGAATGAGGATACATGTGCCATCCCTCTGCCTGGGCCCCTCCCTGTTTTGGCGGGCCCCTGCTGGCAGACCCCTGTTTGAGCTGTAGGGCCTCATCAGGGGTGCTCTCAGGCTGCCCATCTGTTGCCCACCTGGAGACCTTTGAAAGTGCTTTTTTGAGGCTTTTCCTTTTAGACTCAGGATCAGCCAACTTTTTCTGCATGTGGCTTTGCAAGCCGCATGTGGTCCTGTGGCATATTCTTTGTTTTTTTAAACAAATATAAAAAATGTAAGAAAGAAAGAAAGAAAATCATTCTTGGTTTGAGGGCCTTACAGAAACAAGCCGTTGGTGGGACCCTGAGCGATGTTTGCCGACCCCTGTTCTCAACTGTCGGCTCTGTGAGGCAGGGTCCACTGGTTGCTGTCACCATGGTGGCAGTCTCAGGGGCTTTGTTAATAGTGTAGTGTGTACCTGTCCGTGCGTGCCTGTGTGTGAGTGTGTGTGGGGGGTTCGAGTTCCTACCCAAGTGGTCTTTTCTGTTGGTTTGATTTGACAGAAATGTCTAAAAATTAGATCTCATCTAATCTTAATGGAGAATTTCAAGTTGATTCATATTTGAGAGCATATTAAGTACTAGTCATTCTGAGGCGTGTAAGATCCAGTCCCTGTCCTGGAGGGGCTACAGTCCAGCCTGAGGGAAGGAAGCTATTAGTTATGACTTTTGGGGACGGGGCAGAAACTTACTGGAGCCAGCTTCTGGGAGGGCGATTTAAAGATAAAGAGGTGTGTCGTGGAACCCTTGGGCACCACAACCAGGATTTGGACACTTTTGTCCGAATCCCGTCCATGGTCACTGCTGTCCTTTGCGCCTGGCACATGAGGCAGACACTGGGGAGGGCTGCTGGCATTGAGTAAACCTGGGAGCAGTGAGCCCTTGTGAGGGTTTCTCCTGGTTCGTTCCTTCATGGTGCCTGACTCCTGCATGCTGTATTCATTTAGTTTCCCGGAGGTTGGCCTCTGAATGCCAGCCTCCCTCCTAGGCCGTAGCTGACTGAACCGGGATCTGGGTGAGGAAGGGAGTTAAGTGTCCAACTTGGGTGGCTGAAATCACGTGAGGAGGAAAGGAACATTTCCCTGAAGAAAAGGTGACCACCTGGTAGGTGACCCCTATAGTTATGTATCCAACTTACAGGGCTCATCCCTTGGCATCCATCTGTGTGCATTCCTCATGACTGTTCACTGATGCGAATTGCATGCTTATCTGTTCCTGCACCTGAGGCAGTGGTGGGCAGATCTTGGGTGTCAGTCAAGACTTGTGAAATGCTTGAAAGGCTGGATGCACCCAGTGTTGTGTAAGAGCAAACTTACACAGCACTTGGGCTGCGTGGAGGGGTGTGATGTCAGCGTCCCCCGTTTCACCTGTTTTGGGCCTCAGTTTGTAATGGTCTTTGTTCCCTGTGCTCTATAGTTTTGGAGCCTAACATATAGAGCTTTATCTTAAAATCATCTTTGAGGGTGCAGAATACTTCCCTAGCACACAGATGTGTCCCATCTGGTCTGTGTGGCTTCAGAAGAGGATGAAATGGCAGACCTTACTGCTGCAGCTACTACTGAGGCCTTTTATTAGTGATGTTTTCACAGTTATCTGCATGTTGTCATTAAAGACATGTTATCCATATGTGTAAATTGATGCTTTACCTTTCTTTTCCATACATTAATTCCAGGGGGAAATAATGGTTACTCAGACAAGTTTTCTTTTTGGTGATCGAGTTTAGAAACTGTAGCCAAGGTTGAGTACAGAATAAAAGGCACTGGCATGGAGCACTCACTAAGTATTCGAGTGAATGAATGAATGAGTGAGTAAATAAATGATCGATGAGGAAAGTGCTGACATGCTCGTAGCCGCCTGTAAAAAATTAGAAAGTGGCGGAGGGAAGAAGCTTCTTGGTCGTCTTTTGGAGATTTTCTCTAAGTGGAGGGGCACGTGTAGGCCGTGCAGCCCTGTGTGGGCTCTCCCTGGGGAGCACTTGCTTTCTGTTTTCCACGCCTGCACCTCAGAGAGCCCTGCTCTCGTTGCCTAAGCAGGTGTTTTCTCTCTGGATGCTGGTTCTTTATTTTGAAAAGTGCATGCCCCTGACTGTGTCCGAATGATTTAGTGACCTTCGTTGCTCCCTTTGGTTTGGTTTTGCTCGTCCTTGAAATGAACAGCCTTGAATAAGTGAGTGGTGTACCTCCCCTGTTATGCCTGCTTTGTTTTTGATGTTGCATGGAGGTGCTACAAGTGAGGAGCATTTATTTTTCTGTCTTAGTGAGCTGTCCTTGACTTGGAAAGAGGACTGTGTGTGACAGTTTCCATTTCCATGTAGTTGGTGAGCAGTGGGCTCCAGTGATTCAGACAGAGTGCGAGTTCTTAACGCTGGTGCGGGAGTGAGGGGAGGGTGGGGGGAGGTGGGGAGTGTAGCTACAAATGCTCTTCACATGTGAGCAAAACTGCCTGTGCCTGGTAAGGGCATCTTTCTAGGGACAGAGTCCAAAGCTTTCTTCAGATCTTCAAGGAGATCCGTGCTAAAGGATTTAATCCACTGGATCAGAGGTGCTGGTGGATTAACACTGTTTTTTTTTTCCATTTCAAAGGCAGATTGGGAGCGGTGCCGAGAAAAATTTCCTTACTAGATGACATTTCATCGCAATGTCCGATCGTTTGGGGCAAATAACCAAGGGCAAGGATGGGAAAAGCAAGTATTCGACTCTCAGCCTGTTTGATAAGTATAAAGGAAAATCAGTAGACGCAATCAGGTCCTCAGGTAAGAAGCAAGCATGAAGGCCATTGCTTGACGCTTTCCCTTTAGTGAGAACCTCCAGGTCAAGGCCCACGAAAACCCGGAGTCCCCTGTCTGGTTAGACAGATGTGGTCCATGCACACCAGTCTTCTGGGCACGTACTGGTCACCCGGTAGTTCTGAGGAAGCAGAACCTCCCTGCTTCTATTTCCGAGCCTGAAATATCCTGACTCTGCTGTGGTGGGGTTGTTTCCCCATCTCACTTATTTTGTTGAAGCCATGGATATTTTTAGCTTGATGGGTAGAATGGAACTTAATTTGCATTAGAGTTGCCCTTTTTAGATTTTGTGGTTCCAGTATTCTGAAATTTGGTGGGAAAAGTTCCTGTTGAGACTATCCACACCCCATGAGGTTTTGATGACTTTTGGGTGCCCTGCTCAGGCTCGGCTTGGGTTTAGACAGAGGCTGTCCTTTCAGTCCTGCTGTGATAAGGCCAGAGCAGTCTCAGCTTGCAGAGAGGTAGTTACTGTGTGGGAGGGAGTTTTCTGGGCCTGGCTCCTCACCCGTGTCATAAGCTCCCTGAGCCTTCGCCTGCCCACTAGTAAAATGGAAGCCTCTGCACAGATTTCAGCCGTTCCTGTGTCTCGGGTCCTCAGTGAAGAGCTTGTAAAGTGACTACCAAACACTTCTTGTTTGTTTCCACTGTGGGTCTGCCCTTTGTTTTTGTTTGGTTGCCTTTGTCATTATCACTCAGAGTTTGAAAGAGCGCTGAATGAATCCAGCCTGTTTCCTTCTGTAACTTTCCTGTGCGACATCTGTTTCCATCCCTCTTTTCCTGCAGTTATTCCTAGACATGGCTTACAGAGTCTTGGGAAAGTTGCCACAGCCCGGCGTATGCCACCACCTGCAAACCTGCCAAGCTTGAAGTCTGAAAACAAAGGAAACGACCCCAACATCGTTATAGTACCCAAGGACGGCACGGGATGGGCAAACAAGCAGGATCAGCAAGACCCAAAGAGGTGAGGGCGGAGGGACAGGTGGGGGGCTTCGAGGGTCACTCCTGCACCCTTCCCTTCAGCAGAGGTGGTGTGGGCCTCCCGGCGGCAGGACTGGAGAACTGGGGAGAAACCAGAGGAAGCGTTCACCCCACTCCTGCTGCTACTTAGTTGTTTCTTGCTCCCTGCCTTCGTTTTTCCTGGCTTTTAGAGCCGATGCAGCAACGTTTCTGTGGGCTGCCTTGTCCCCAGTGACCAGTGTCCCCTGTGCCTTATTAGGACAGGCCTCATCACCCTGGAGGAGCTTATGCAATAGCTCAGAGCCAGTTCCTGTAAGAGCCACTGTGGACAGAGCTGGTCTTGAACACTTCATTCTGGTGGTGGTCCCTGTGGCTGGGCTCCAGGTTGAGAAGGCAGCCTTCCTCACTGTGGGCCCAGCAGCTTCCCGCAGAGACTGCTGCAGTTGTCCTCAACAGACCCAGTTACGAAGGAGAATAACCCGGGCTCCTTGTTATCTGGAGTCAGTGTGCAGTCTCCCTGAAGGCTCACCCACTGCCAGCACAGCACTTACGGAAACCTTAGGAGGCCCAGGGTCTGGCTCAAAAATCATCATTAGAGAAGCAGAGCAACTGTTGCAGCTGCTGCCGTGTGGTGGGGCTGAACGCATGAGGCCAGGCCGGTTCCAGTTCTGCCCGGGACGCATAGCCTAGGCGATTCCCTCTGACACCTGAGCCTTCGGTCATCTCCTCCTCCTGCAGGTCTTCTCTGACGGGTTCCAGCCCCTGTGGAGGGTGTCCAGGAAAGAGGATTTGTGCTGGGAGGGGACTAGAGAGGGACAGGGCCTTGCTAAGGCTGTAGGCAGACACCTACTGCTGGGGTTTGCCTGTTGGGGAATGAACACACAACAACCCTGTCTTTTGCACCTTCTTGCCCTGCATCCCTCGTGGTCTGGCTGCTGATGCTTGGGATCCAGAAAGTAAAGGTGAACCAGTGTCCTTTTCTCATTGGAAGTGGCCATGGTACCTTTTGTAAAACTTCCCTGTAGTTACTTCAGACAGGGTATAGACGTGAGGAAATAATTCATTCAGATGATCATAAAGTAGTAGTAACTGAAATAGGGTCTTAAAGCTGTTTTAAACAATTTTCTGACAGTTTGCTTAGGGATCGTACTGTTTGATTGTATTGCATGACTTTTGGAATCAGACAGACGTGTATGTGATTTCCGGCCAGACCTTTTATTAGTTTTATGGAAGCTGGAGAATTATCTGACTTTGAACTTCTGTGTCCTCCTGTGAAGTAGAAATAATACCTGGCTCCAGGGGTGGTTATAAGCAATAGATGAGATAACACAAGTCAGTTACTTAGCACAGAGCCTGGCATAGAGGAAGTGCATGGCAGATGTCAGCCATTATTGTCATCATTTTATTCAAATGGTAGACACTACAAACTCCAAAAGGAAACAGGTATTACACATTTCAGTGTAAGCATTGAAATGCCTCTGCTATCAAAAGTTCTAGAGAGAGAAGACAAAGCATCGCTCCCTCCTCTTACCTGGTTTTACCCAGCATCGGCATAGAAAGTATCAGGCAGCTTTAATGAGGCCAGGTGTGCTGCACATGTGCCAGGGAAGAGGTCAAGAATGAGTCCCGGGGCCGGCCCCGTGGCTTAGTGGTTAAGTGCGCGCGCTCCGCTGCTGGCGGCCCGGGTTCGGGTCCCGGGTGCGCACCGACGCACCGCTCTCCGGCCATGCTGAGGCCACGTCCCACATACAGCAACTAGAAGGATGTGCAACTATGACATACAACTATCTACTGGGGCTTTGGGGGGAAAAAAAAAAAAAAAAAAAAAAAAAAAAAAAAAAAGAATGAGTCCCGGAGAAGGCCGCAGACCCTAGGCGCTGGTTCTCTGCTGTCCCTGGGGCACAGCCTCCAGCGGGGTACCGGGGAGGTGGCAGAGTGGAGGGCCATAACTGCTGGGACTTGCTGCTTAGGTTTGGAGAACACAAAAGTGACGCGACCTGGAAGCTTCTGTTTTAGGTAGAGGTGATGCGAGAGGAGGATCAGTGGCCTTTATTATGTAGTAATCGTGAATGGTGAGTTACTTGGGTTAAGTAAACCCTGGAAGAGTGTGTATGTGTAGAATTTGGTTTCAGCTTACAGATGAGCCACCAGTTTTGACTTGGATTCTGGCCAGGTGGATTGCCACCCTCCTTGAATCTCGTCGGGTGGAGGGTCGAATAGAAAGAGTGGCTGGAGAGCTGCTGAGTCAGTAGAAATCTTTCTGCAGAACCTTTTCTTGGGGGCCGGCCCCGTGGCTCAGCGGTTAAGTGCGCGCGCTCCGCTGCTGGCGGCCCGGGTTCAGATCCCGGGTGTGCACCGACACACCGCTTCTCTGGCCATGCTGAGGCCGCGTCCCACATACAGCAACTAGAAGGATGTGCACCTGCAACACACAACTATCTACTGGGGCTTTGGGGGGAAAATAAATAAATAAAATCTTTAAAAAAAAAACCAAACCCTTTCTTGTTGCTCTCTCAAAAGATTACTTGTGAGGTGTAAATTGACTGACAGGCTTTTTTGGACAGCAGTTTGGCAATGTCTTTTAAACCTCAAAACATCTTTTGATCCAGCAATTTTATTTCTAAGAACTTATACACTATACAAAAATACTTACTGCAGTTTTATCTGTAATAGAAAAAAAAATTGGAGATTGGTCAGTTATGACCCACTCAGTTGTGCTGTGCCATTAAAAGAAAGAGGTAGACTCATACGTGTTGCCATGAAAAGGTGTTAAATACGTTAAGTAAAAACAAGTTATGGAATTGTACGTATAGTGTTATCCCACTTGTGTTAAAAAAATGCTATCTTAATATATATAGAAAAACAGGCTTGGAGTTTCTGGAGGATGAGATCATGATGAATTCTGTGTCATATATATTTATAAACTTATTTTTACTATGAACATATATTTGTTTTATAAGCCAAGAGAAAGTAAAAAAATCTCATATTTCAAAGCAGTCAGCCTCCTGAGTAGCTGTGAGCTCCTGGTCAGGCGTAAGGGACTCAGAGCCCCTTCCCTGCAGTGACTCAGTTTCCCCATTGGCAGATCCTCCATCACTTCGTTGTTTGCAATGAGCTTTCAGTTTTTGTAAACAAAAGGCTCTGCAAGAAGGCAGAGGATCGTCCTGTCCTGTAAGATGTCACTGAAGAGACCTCAAACGTGATTCGTGATTCGGTTTCTCCTTGTCCTTGCCAGCTTAACCCTCTATTGGGGAAGGTATTGTTTTTATGGGTCAGGGGAGGTCTTGCTCCGAATGAGCAGCTGTGGCTCTTGGCAATGCAGCCGGACCTCATCAGCGTGGCCTGTGCCGTGTCTAATCTGCACTGTATGTCCTGCCTTTGTCTAGTTCCAGTGTGACGGCCTCTCAGCCGCCGGAGTCGCTGCCGCAGCCGGGTTTGCAGAAATCTGTCTCCAATTTACAGAAACCGACACAGGCAATCAGTCAGGAGGTAGGTGCAGGACCCTGTCCTGATTGTTGCCCCAGCATCGGAGCCCCTAAACGCTTCTGTTGTTGGGGACTGGGAGGAGCTGTCACTGCGAAGGGCGGCCTTGCATGACCTGCTTATTCCAGAGGCAGACCTGATGAGTGACTTTGGAAAATGAGCGTGGAAGTTGTCGTGGTCACTGATGAGGTATTTTAATCTGCAGTTTTTGGAGAAAGAACCCAAATATAGAATAGAATACAGACACCTAATTTGATTCCCATTGACTTACTTTGAGGTGAGGTCGCTCAGGCCAGCCGCAGGGGAGATCAGAGTTCCCTCATACGTGCTCCATGGGAACTAGTGCCATAAGACAAAAGGTGTTGGCCTCAAAGATACAGAAACACGTGGGCAAAGAGAGCAGATTAGTGGTTACCAGAGGGGAAAGGGCTTGGGGGTGGACATAATGGGTAAAGGGGCACATTTATATGGTGACAAATAATAATGTACAACAGAAATTTCACAGTTATAAACTGTTATGACCTCAATAAAAAATTAAAAAAAAAAGTGTTGGGTACAGAAAGGTTCAATGGTCGGGTGAGTTTAAAAACAAAATTAAGCAAGCTCCTTTACTGTTAGACTTCTTCTCAGTGTCTTTAATGTGCTAATGTGTGCTATGACTCTCTAAGGAGAAGACATAATCGACAGTGTTCCCCAATTCATTTGTCCTAGGCAACCTTTTTAACTGAATATTTCTAGGGACTAGTGTCTCGCAGAACACACTTTGGGAAATACCGAGCTATAATCCTTTATTTGTTGATACATTTAAAATGTTTTTCTAGGGCCGGCCCAGTGGCTTAGCAGTTAAGTGTGCGCGCTCCGCTGCTGGCGGCCCGGGTTCGGATCCCGGGCGCGCACCGACGCACCGCTTCTCCGGCCATGCTGAGGCCGCGTCCCACATACAGCAACTAGAAAGATGTGCAGCTATGACATACAACTATCTACTGGGGCTTTGGGGGAAAAAAAAGAAAAAGGAGGAGGATTGGCAATAGATGTTAGCTCAGAGCCTCAGCAAAAAGAGGAGGATTAGCACGGATGTTAGCTCAGGGCTGATCTTCCTCACACAAAAATAAATAAATAAATAAAATGTTTTTCTAAACAGAAAGTCATGATTTAACCGAGCAAAGCTGATAATATGCTCAGTCCATCGGAGTCTGTCTGTGGGATCTCTCCTGCAGAGATCCGTGGGAGGATATACTTAGCTGGTAGCTAGAAATCTAGATGAGAGGTCTGTGAATCTTTTAGAAGACAAGAAGAAATCTAGACATAGATACCTACCTTTCACCAGCTTTCTTGAAAACAACTTGGAACTACCATATTTTAGTTTTTATTGTGACCTGGGCAATAGAAGGTTGGAGATGCCATCCCCCATCTGTGGGGAAAGTTTATGGCTTTTCCAGAAGAGCACCCTCCCCCACTCAACACTGAACTGTCCTTTTGAAAGTAAGAAAAAGAAAAAAAAAGTCCATATTCATGTGAGACTCCATATTCATTGGCCTAAATCCACTGGGACCTGTTAACCAGTCAGAGTACATGGCGTTGAGTTTGTATGTTTCCCAGAATTTGAAACTATTTGTACTCTGGCTGTACATCAAACACACCTTTGGAGCCTGTGAAAAATACATATGCCTGTACCCCACCACTAGAGACTCTGAGTTGAGGCCTGGGTACAATCCTGGGCATCTATTGAAAAAAAATGCTGAGGGAACTGTCTGTGGTCAGGGTCGAAAAGCCCCATCCTAGAGCCAGCACACAGGTCCCTTCACCCAGTGCTCAGCTTTCTCGGCTGTTCCCTGGTTTTCTCCCATGTGCGGAGGTGGAAAGAAGACGACACTCCCAATGTTTTCCACTCTCTAAAACCTCACCCCAGAGGCATTACAGCAGTTCTACTCCTGGGGAGAGATTTGCCAGCAACGTTGGTAACCCCTTCTTGGCCTTGTAGGCATTCTCTTCCAGTTTAGTGCCTTTGGTGGAGGAGGGCAGGGGCGTTGTTCCTTTGGCTGCAGACACAAAGTGGGAGGGTGTAGGTTGGCACTGGTACCCTCTGCTTCCTGCAGGATCTGGAGGCTCGCTCCTCCCTGAGGGACTGCCAACCCCAGCTGCGCTGTCCTGTTATGTTGCTGGCATGTCACTTATGTCGTTAGTGTGGGGGTGACCTGTGGGCATTCCAGACCGCCCATGTCAAGCAACTCAGGGCAACTCCTAATAAGTAAATGGACCGTTACACCTGGTGAGCTCTGCATTGAAGGCCAGAGAGCAGCCGTCTGCCTTAAGTGTGTGTAGCGGTGGTGGTGGGGGGGACCTGGAGGATAGGAGAGGTTGGTTGGGAAAGAGCAATTATTTAATCTGGTATCTGGTCCAGCAAGGGATGAAACTTGATGCTGCATCAGCCTTGTTTTTTGTATCTTTACTTTTTTAGAAGGGGACGGCTAAGTTGAATGTTGTTGAGAAAGGCAGGTGAGCTCAGAGACTGGGAACCCAAAGGGGCTCTCGCCACAGGCAGAGTGGAGACAAGTCCTGGTCCTGCCTCTCTGGTTGGGACTAGTCACTCTTTTCTGAGCCTCACTTGAGATACGACTAGAGCCTTCCCAGGGTGTGGGAGGATTTGGTCAGGCAGGGCATGCCTAACATAATGCCTAGCCCATACTGAGCTTTCAGCAAAGGTTAGCCAGTAGGACTGAGTTTGGGCCAGGCAAGTCCAGATTAGTGGAGGAGGAAGGCCTCTCACCTGGGGAGTTGTGCCTTGTAGAATGACAGTATAGTCATGTGCCACATCACGACGTTTTGGTCAATGATGACCGCATATATGACGGTGGTCCTATAAGGTTAGGACCATATAGCCTAGGTGTGTAGTGGACTGTATCATCTAGGTTTGTGTAAGTACACTCTGTGGTGTTTGCACAACAACGGACTTGGCTAACCATGCATTTCTCAGAACGTGTCCCCGTGTTAAGTGACACATGACTGTAATTATGGAAAGTGGTGCAGTGGCCTGTGCAGTGAAAGATCAGGCATGTTGGCTTTCCCGTGTTTATATTCCTCTGTTAGCAGTGGCACACAGTTTTTGAGACACGTGCTAGAATTGGGGTTTGGTCTTTGCCTCTGGAGCAAGACAAAGTAGCTCTGTGGGCAGGAGAGATAACTTGACAGAATATTCTGGAGGGAGCATGAAGGTGGACCTGGGTTCGAGTCCTGCCTTTGCTGTATAACTGTGTGACTCTGAGCTGGTCACTGCCCCTCATCTGTAACGTGGGCGGGCAGTTCCTGACATCTCGGCTGCTGCACCGAGTGGGGTGCTGCCTGGGCACCTCATGTGGTTTGGATGCTGCTCAGCAAGTGTTGGTGGATATATCAGCGTAGGGTGTGACCCTAAGGTGCAGCCCTATGGGCACCTTATTTTGACTCGCTCAGTGATGGACTGCAGACCGATTGGGCCGGCTCTCTTCTGATTCTCTTCCTTGTTTCAGAATACAAATTCAGTGCCAGGTGGACCAAAGTCATGGGCACAGCTGAATGGAAAGCCAGTAGGACACGAAGGTGGTAAGTGTGTGTGTGTGGTGTGGGGCGGGTGGGTAGGAGGGATGAGTACCATTCTGGCTGGGTCTAGGCAGTCTGTGTGGAGTCTCTTCCCTGAGAGAGATACTGCTCTGTGGAGCCCTGTCCTTTGCCCTAGTGGGGGAAGCACCGGTTCCGCGAAGTGTGTCCACCCCTTGATTTCATTCAGTGTTACTGCTGAAGACATTCATCCTGAGGTGTACAGAGGAGACCTGGGCAGCTATCCCTGCTGTTCTTTAATTCGGCTCTGCTGCTGATGGAATTAATACCTGCTCAGCAGTGTTGCTGACACACATCTACTGCCTCTCTCCTGGGACCACAAGGAGGAGGTGTTGCATGGTTTGGTGTTAACTTCAGGTATGGATTTATGAATAAGCCAGCTCTGGCAATTGAGCTGCCTGTTTGTGGACAGTAACACCAGAGCGTTCAGAGGGTACGTGGTGTTTGTTACCTGTAGTGCTGTGCCCTACACTAAGGAAGCACTCAGGAAGTGTGGTCGGCTGAACTGCCACTGTGGTAGTTCAGTAAGACGGGGGAGGTGAGCGGAAGGGAAGAGTTCAGAGTTTTAAATGAATGCTGAACAACAGATTCAAATGGCTTCCGAGGCAGGCCCAGAACAGAGAGAGGGTCACGTGTTCAGATAAGGGCAGAGAGAGAGCGGTGGAACCTGAGCAGAGAGTAACTAGGCTCCCCTCCAGTGACTGGAGCCCTCTGAGAATGCAGGCCCAGCGTCAGGGGCGTTTTTTTTGACAGAAACCAAAAATCCAGATTTTTTTAATGTGAACTCTTCTGATTTTTCAGTGTTAGTTCGAATGTTTCTAGCCTACTGTGCAGACCAAACGAGGTGTTGCCTCCAAGCTCGAGGGAGAGTGTCGGTGGTGCCCATGGTTAACCCATGATGGCTCCTGCTTCTGTAAAGCAGCGCCGGCTGCCTTCTTCACCCTTTGCCCCCTGTCTTGGCGTCGCCCTCTGCCTTCTGCGTGTCCCTGCCAGCCAAGGCTTCGCCAGACCTTACCTTTTGTAGCTTATATTAGAAAAACAGGTATACGTCTCGCCTTCCGTGTATCCACCCTCTCTCCCGCCCACCAAGACTTCAGTGCCCACTCTGGGTTGGAATCACTGTGCAGTTGAGGGCTGTCCCCTCAGTCTCCCGTGGGGAACGACACATCAGTCAGTGTGCCAGTGGAGCTGTGGGCACAGCCTGGGTACTCCTGACTTCACAACAGGCAGGGCAAGCTCGGGCCTTGTCTGGAAGAGAGCTTTACTGATTCTCTGGTCCCCAGAGGGTTATGTGGAGGGAGCAAGATGAGAGAGGGGCAGGGAGGGGCGGCGACCAGCATTTCAGTACCCTAAAATCAGGTCTTTAAAGAGACTTTGTAAAGAGTACCCACTAGACTGTTGATAGTACTCCTTTGGCTTTCTACAGCCTATCTTTCTGTAAGGTTAGGATTTTAAGTAAATCAAATGTATTAATTTTTATTTAGAAAGAACTACAAAGATTAAAAAAAAAAGCTAGTATAAATTGGCACAGCCAATTTGAGCAGTTTGGGACTGCCTCAAAATAGTAACACATATATTGACCTAGCAGTTCCGCTTTGAGGAATCACTCTATAAATTACACTTGCCCATGTATGAAATGACAGATGTATGAGATCATTCATTACAACATTGTAATAGGAAAAGATTGGAAACAATCACTTGAAATGTCCATCAAATTATGGTACTTTAATGAAATACTTTTTGGCTAAAAGGAAAAAAAGCAGTTTTCTACTGATAGGGCAAGATCTCCAGGACATGTTCTTAAATGAAAGAAAGTACAGAATAATATGTAGAGTGTGTTACCATTCATGGAGAAAATTGGGATGAGGGAGAAAAATGTTGTATAGGCAATAAAAAAATCTATGGAAGGAAACACATGTAGGAAGGAAGGAGGGAAACAACCAAGAAAGTCCCGATTTTTTGAGGGCATTAGAAGTGGGCAGATGGGGCACAGGGTGGGAGGAAGGCTCTTCATGGCTTCTTACTTTTGAACCTTGTGATTGTATTACCTATCAAAAATAAGACCATTTAGAAGACAGTTTTAAAACACAGTGAAGTGCTTTGTAAACATGTGATAGCTCGTCTGGGAGATGGCAGAACCCAGGAGCCCAAGAGGAGAGAACAGACTCGTGCCGGGCCCAGGTGGGTCTGGGGTGGGAATCAGGCTTCTGGTTCCCCCTCCTGTGCCAGAGTCACAAGTCTGTGGTGCCATCAGGGCTGGGAAGACTTGGGGGTGTTGCCCACAAACGTTTTCATGACTCTTTGGGATCGGAAGGACTCTTCCAGAGTTGGTAGACTCTCTCCATTTGGAAGGTGTTCGATTGGTCTGTTTCGCCTGGAACAGATCCAGGAGACCTGCTTCTGTGGTTCGGGCGGAGGCTCATGGCTCATGGGCTCTGGTGCCAGCAACACCAATGGCTCAATGTGGGACCTGAGAAGAAACCCCTGATTTTACTGCTTCAGTTTCTCATGGCAGAGAACAGATGGTGTGAGAAATTGGTGGGTGAACATTGCAGAGCATTGAGACCTTAGGAGTACCACTACTTTGGTTTGAGATTTTGAGTTCTACCCTTTATCCTTTTTGTCTGTAGAGGGTAAGTTTAATTCATGCTTATAATAATACCTTTGTAACTGTTGAGGCAGAAAAAAAGTACTGGGCATTTTTTTTTTAAACTTCAAATAATCTACCATACTTTTAAAGTGTGACTTTCATGCTTCATTCTCGCTGATGACCTTTTAACATAATGAAGTGGCTATGTGAGTCAAAGTCCCCCTTCACGGAGCAGTAGAGCTCCCTCCTGACACTCGGAGATGGTCTCTCAGGTTAATCATTGGTGAGTGATGTGTCCAGTTATCACTCTGGCAGGTTTATTTGACCCTGATGTTTTTACTAAGTGGGATGGCGAATGAATTGCTGCCTTGTGCATCTACACTAATCCCACTGCATCTTTCTGGCAAAGTCTGCCTTAGTCAACAGGTCCGTGAATCACTGGTGCTAAGAATGATACCTAGAGGGAAATTTGGCTTTACTGTCTGGGGAACAAGGCATATCACAGTCCCACGTTGTGCTGTGTGATATTACTGTTATTAAGTTTATATGGTGCTGGATGTGTGCTGCATATTCCAGATAATAGGACCAAATCTCACTCTGGACCCTAAAATGCATTATTTATTATGATCCATTCATCCAAAAGATGATTGCAGGCCGTCTGTGCTGAGTGCTGTGAATGACAGGAACAAGTTGAGAAAAGGCTTCTTCTCTAAAAGAGGTGATAGTGTTGGAGAATGAATGAAAGAACAAAGAAAGAAAGTGTCCCAGGATTCCAAGAGGAAAGTATTTGGCCTTATAGGGCTTGAGGAACTTTGTAGAAAGTGGTGAACTGAAATGGACAATGAGGAAGTGGTACTCAGGAGTGTAAATCTAGGGTGGAGGCCTTTGGGGAGGCATGAGGGGGGCGACCTTCTGCCGGCATTACCTCCACGTGCCAGCAGTGGACTTCCTTGGGCTGATTTTGCTGACAATTGCTCTTGTCTGCCCTCCGGGGCTGCCAGAAGGACCTTACTGCCTTCTTCCAGGAATGATTAAGGATCTGGGCTGGAGCAGCTGTGATAGCTTACCCGTGCACTTTGTAACCAGCTCCTGCAGGTTAGCTGGTGAGGGGCCTGGTGTAGTCCATGACCAGCCTCTCCTTGTCACCTTTGGGGAACTCTTGTGCCGCTCTGCACAGCTCACTTAAAATGAGCGTGCTTCAGAGCAGTGTGGCTTTCAATGCGTGGAGTTGGTGGAGCAGAGAACTGTTGATGCCCAGCTCCCTTGCTCCATAAATCTTCCTGGTTTTCTTGACAGGTTTAAGGGGCTCAAGCCGACTATTATCCTTCTCTCCCGAGGAATTTCCGACGCTGAAAGCAGCTGGAGGGCAGGACAAGGCTGGCAAAGAAAAGGGCGTCTTAGATCTGTCGTATGGGCCAGGACCAAGCCTCCGCCCCCAGAGTAAGTGACCTGCAGCCCTGTCTGGGCACAAGTGGGACTGCAGAATTTCTCCTCCTCTCTTCCCTCTTAGAATTGTGCTGGTTCTCAAAGAACCAGAGCTCCTGGAGTCCAGGCTGCTGCCTGGGAAGCCTGGTTATCTGTGTCTGCGTCTGTTGAACTTCCTCCCTAGGCTGCTCTGGAGGTCATTTCTCGTCTTTTTGCTTGGGCCAGGCCTGTCTGCCTTCCCAGCTGTCATCAGATAGTAGTTCTGATATGCTTGGGTGGTCATGGCAAGGATGGATGGACCAAGGGCCAGTTACCTTGGTCCCTGATTCAGGAGCTTGTTTTCTAAACCAGAGGTTCCTAAACCTAGCTGAATCCTGTCAGAATCACATGGGGAGTTTGTTGAAACGTCTGATTCCCAGCTTGTTCTCCCTAGCCAAAGTACAATCTCTATTTTTTAACACGTTGCCCTGGGGATTGTTATGTAGCCAGCACAGCGCTGGTCTCCATGGTCACCTCATCTGGGGTCTAGCCAAGGAGTCAGCAGGATTCTGTGGCGATATTTGCTGGTAATATTTTTTCCTTAGCGGCGTTGGGTGGTCAGAGGTTAAGGTGTTGTTTAGGAATGAGGTTTTCTATCTGTTCTAATCAGGGATTCTGAAATGGCTCTTGCTTTTTGTAGAGGGGTGCTGGGGGCTTGATCTTGAAATAGGAGGGACTTTTGTTTTCTTGTCTTGGTTAATTCCCCAAGTATTCCAAAGTCAGAACTGAGATCCTGTAAATGAAACGATCACTCTGCAACTCTTTAATAAAACATACTGCCTTTCAGTGGCCTTTGCTGGGTTATTTTGTCTGCTATGTAGTTAAATTCCTGGGGCCAAGAATTTTAACTTTCTGGGGTTAATTAAGAGGAGCTGCTTTGTAGGACTATAAAAATTTAGAACTGGGAGAAGCTTCTGGGATCAGTTTCATCTCCTCATTTGAAAAGAAGCAGATGGCCAGAGAGTGACCACAGGACTTGCCTAAGATCACACGCAAGGTGGTTGATGAGCTGGGAGCAGACCTGGATTTTGTGGCTCCCATCCTGGGTCTCTTTCTCTTAGGGGTCACATACTCAGGGACCTTTCCTATTTCAACTACTAACCAAAAGTTGACTCAAAAGAGGAGCCTTTTGGCTTATCTGGTTTCTTGCTGGCCTGTAATCTCGTCAGATCATGGCTACACTTGGTGGAAAGCATCGTCTTAAAAAGATAGACAGATAGGTCGGCAGGTTTTTATCTGTGACCTGCAGAAGGGCTCCACGGGATTGATGCAGGAGCAAGTGGGGGCGAAGGCCTGGTGGGCAGGGCCTCAGACCCTTCCACGGCCCCGCTGGAGTGAGGGCAGCTCTGCTTTGTCTTAGGAACCAAGGAATCTCTTTGACTAGAGGTGCCAGTGCTAAACAGACTTTGTAAATGTGTGTCAGGAACTCACTGGTTTTGATGTGCAGTCCAGCGTGGGCACAGTGCTGATCCTGACGGGGCTGGGTCAGTATTTGTGGAAGAAAGCACCCAAGGCTGTTTTCGTCAGGGCTGTCTTGATTTCTTTGGGGTATTAGATCTGCGGGTGATGTGGTTTCTGTTAGTCAGTGAAGACCGTGTCTTGTTTTCACTTGCCTTCTCTCTCAGTGGACCTTATTTTGTGGACCTTATGACAATCAGACTTCCCTCCGCAAGTTCCTATTCACTGGCCAGGTGTCTGTCCCGCACTTTCCCTGACCGACTTGACCAGTTGACTCGAGTCTTCACTTTTTGTTTTTTATTTTTTGGTGAATGAGGGGGTCCCTTGACCTTCAGAACCTCATACAATCCCTCCTCCCCCCTCCTCTTTCCTCTCCCCTTTTGCCCCCTTTCAATTTCCAGATGTGACAAGCTGGAGGGAGGGCGGTGGGCGAAACATAATTTCTGCCACGTCTCTGAGCGCCTCCCCAACTGAGCTGGGCAGCAGGAACTCGAGTGCAGGAGACGGAGCCCCCTCCTCGGCATGTACCAGCGATTCTAAGGACCCCTCTCTCCGCCCGGCTCAGCCTGTCCGCAAAGGGGCTTCACAGTTCATGGGAAATGTATACCACCCACCTACATACCATGACATGCTTCCTGCTTTTGTAAGTCTTCAGAGTGTGCCTTTTTTTCCCATGAAGTCGGATTGTTCATGTCCAGCAGAACCTACTTCAAGTGGTTGAATGTCCACCTTGGCTTCTCCCTCCCAACTTCACTCTTTGCCCTGAAAACCCTACTCTGGAGGTTCCCATTAGTTTTGCATTTTCTCTCCCCTTTTCATATCTTAAGGGCCTCTGGCTTCTTTCCCTGGTGATGTGGATATTATTTTAGCCTTGGTTCTTTAGAAAAAGGAGAGGCAGGTATTTCCCAAGACACAAGTCCCCAAATTTGCTTACTGACAGCAGGAAAGAAATGGGGCAGATGGCGGTAGGATTAATTGGGAAACCCTAAGACTTTCCTGTTTCTTTCTCCCGTTTTCCATTTTCCAAGACAAATTCTAATGCAAGTGGGATTGAGAATTTGGGCCATTACCAGAAAATCCTGTTCATTGATGTTATGTTTCAGATGTGTTCGCCACAGTCATCAGAGAACCAGGGTACAGTGGAACGAGGATCTTTTCCCCTTCCCCAGCTCCGTCTAGAACCCCGTGTTCCTTTTAGACAGTTCCAGATGAATGACCAAGATGGGTAAGGCTATTGCATTGTAGTCACATATGTAGTGATTACCCCTGGTGGTGATAATGGGCTGACGTATGAATGACAGTGCTTTGTCTTCTGGAGACCACAGTGAACCTAAAAACCAACTCAGCCTGCAGGGTAGGTGGGATGGCTGGGACCTGGGGCTGAACGAGAGACTGGGTTCTGATTTCAGGTTCCTGGCAGAGTTGAAGTTTTGGCACGTGCTTATTGCTGCCATCCTAGGCATTAGCACTGAGCATATAAGACTGCAGAATGAGGCAGAACTTCTCTCTGGGATGTGTTTGTTCATTTCTTTTAAAAGGAGATGATGTAAATATTAAATGCAAACAAGCACCTTTGCAATGTAGGACTTATTTTTGGAAAAGTATTTGGTTTTGCTTCCATCTGTATACTTGACATGAGTCCAGCATCTTTACTCTTCCTTCTCTCATCAGAAAAGAAAACAGACTGGGAGTGACTCGCCCTATCCGTCCACTAAGGCAGCTGGTGGAACGGGCGCCACGGCCCACCATCATCAATGCGGAAAACCTGAAGGGCCTTGATGATCTGGACACTGATGCTGATGATGGCTGGGCAGGTGGGTTATGGTGTTTACTGGTGGGCTTACCACTGCCAGTTTAGGAAGGGAGGAATGAAGTCGTTCTCTGCTCACCAGGGTTGAAAACCCTCTGACACCACTGTGTGTTTTCTCTTGGGGAGCTGGAATGAAGGCGTGGGGGCAGGGAGCAGCTTCAGTGCCCTGAGTAGATCCTTGTTGGTGATTAGACCAGTGGTTGCTTCCTGACAGAGCCGTATCTTCTTTTGGTCTTTGGTCTTGATCTTAGAGCTGTGGGAGATTTTGCTGTTAACTTTTTAAGAAGACATTTTATAATGGAAAAGTTAAACAAAACAAAATAGTGTAATGAACCCCCAGCTGCCCATTACCCCGCTTCACCAGGTAACCAACACTGCCATTCTTGTTTATCTTCACCCTCGTCCCATCCCCCAATCTGATTATTTTCTTTTAAAATCCTCTTTGTTTATTTTTGAGTAGATTTTAATTACGTTGAAAGGCGCACATCTTAATTGTACAATTTTCACAAATGGATACACTTGTGTAACACACCCCCCTGTGGAGGTAGAGAACTTCCCCTCAGCACCCTGGGTCCGGATGGTCCTCTCCGCCCCACTCCCCCGTGAGTCTTCCTCCCCCAGCTCTGCCCCGGGGGCCTCCTCCTCTTCTCATGATCTTACTGTAGATTGCTTCTGCCTGTTACAGAACTGCAAATGAATGGAGTCACATAGCTTTTATTCTCTGGTAATGTTTTAGAGATTCATCAACGTCATTATATGTCTCAGTAGTCGCTTTTACTTACTGGGGTATATTTCATTGTATCAATATACTGTAATTTGTTTATCCGTTCAGAAGTTCCGTTATGAATGGTATTTTCATTTCTCTTGAGTAAATGTCCAGGAGTGGAATTTTTGGGTCAAAGGGTAGGTGTGTGATTAGGTTCATAAGAACCACCCAAACCTTTTCCCTGGTGGTTGTGCCATTTTACATTCCCAGCAGCAAGATACGAGATTTTGGTTGCTCTACATCCTCGCAGCACTTCGCGTTAGTCTTTTTAATTTTAGCCATTCTAGTGGGTGTGTAGTGGTATCTCATTGTGATTTTAATTTGCATTTTGCTGATGACTAATGATGATGAACACGTTTTTGTGTGCTCTTTGGCTGCTGGTATGTCTTTTTTCTTTTTTTCGTTTTGAGTGTTAGGATATAAATTATGGATACAAGTCTTTTGTGACTTAGATTTCACAAATGTTTTTCCCCAAGGCCTGCCTTGTCTGTTCATGTTTTTAGCACTGTGTTTTGATGAGAAGCTTTCAATTTTGATGAAGTTTAATTTATAAATTTGTGTTTTTTTGTGGTTATTACTTTTGTGACCTGTCTAAAAAAATCTTTGTCTCTCCTTAGTGGTGAAGATATTCCTTTATGTTTTTTAATAGTTTTAACTCTTATTTTTGGGTCTCTTATCCATCTTGAATTAATTTTTGTGTGTGGGGTAAGGTAGGAGTCGAGGTTCATGTTTTTTTCCATAAGGATATTCAGTTGTGCTGCACCATTTGTCGATAAAACTTTTCTTCTGCTGTTGAATTGCTTTGGCACCTTTGCCAAAAATCAGTTGACCATGTAAGTGTAGGTCTATTTCTGGATCTCTTTGTTCTAGTGATCTATTTATTCATCCTTATCCAACATTACATTGTAGCTTTATAGTAAGTCTTAAATTCAGGTAGTGTGGGTTTTCCAAGTTTTTCTTTTTCAAGATTCTAACTATTCTAAGATCTTTTTTCGTTCCCATATAAATTTAGAACTGGCCTGTCAGTATTTATGAAAAACCTGTAGGCATTTTGGTTTGGATTGTCTTGAGTTTATTTCTGGATAAATGATAGCTTAATTTTGAATCTTCCGTCCAGGAATCTGGTGAATCTCTTTATTAGTTCTTTCATTTCACTCAGCAGTGTTTTATAGTTTTCAGGATAGAGATCTTGAATGTCTTTTGTTAAGTTTATTCCTAAGTATTTTGTGTTTTTTGATCCTATTATAAGTGGCATTAATTTTTTTTATAATTTCATTTTTTTTTTAATTTTTATTTATTTATTTTTTCCCCCAAAGCCCCAGTAGATAGTTGTATGTCA